AAGATCCTGAAGGAACAGGTAACGTATGAACCTATTGTTTATCACTGGCTATCGTGGAGCAGCATCTCTGCGTTGCTCCTCTGACTAGTTTCTTGGGACAAAAGCTCAGAGTATGGTTCTCTAAGGAAAAATCCTGTTTCATTTGGGCACCCGGGCAGTATTCTAGCCAACACAAATTCAATGATTTGTGCGGGACACAAATATCTATATACCCCTCTGTACCATTCTTTATGTTCAAATATATAAACCAACAAATTGACCTATTTTTCTAAATTCAGCAGAAAGATTTGACAGTTGTGTAATGATATAACGGGAGATATGTCAGTCAGTCAGTCAGATGCAACGTAGAACTTTGTACATAAGTACATCAGTTCATGTTGCCATACCACATCAGCACAGAGAAGTAATCGTCAATTCAAATCCAATAGTAGAAGAGGTAGTAAGGGAATTAGAGATAATCGGAGAGGTTAGGATTAGAAGATACTACTCAAGAAGTATGATTCAGTGAGAAAAGTTTAGAGAGTCGAAACTAGAGGTGTTGAAGAATCCAGAAGATTAGCATTTGAGAGAACACAGAGAATAAATGCACCGGCGCCATTGCGAACGATTTTGAGCCATGTCATTCAAGGTCTCTAACCATCGATTATTATCATCTCGCGGACCCCAACCAGGTAGTCGACAATTACCGACATGGCTCAGTCCACTCGTCAATGACTTCATGGATTTCTGCCATGTTTTGGTTTGGCCGCCCCTAACTTTCTTCAAACCTACTCCTACACTACAAAACAAAGCTCTTCGAGGCAGTCGGTGGTTGGGCATACGCAACACATGTCCCAACCACCTCAACTGGTGAAGTTTCAATACTTCATCGATTGATCTGCCATTCTTACCTAGCACCCTATTCCTAATAACAGCGTTGCTCACTCGGGTGTCCCACGATATACGAGCAATGCTTCGAAGACACCTATGATCGAAAACCAGTAACCTACGAATATCTTCTACTCTCACTGGCCATGTTTCACAGCCATAAAGTAAGACGGAGCGAACTACTGCGCAGTACACTCGTCCTTTAGTCAGCAAACGGATATCTCGCCTACGCCATAAGTGACGCAGGTTGGCAAAAGCCAATCGAGCCTTCTGTATCCGAGCTGAGATTTCGTCAGTCACCAGGCCATCGGCACTGATGAGACTCCCAAGATAAGTGAAGCGGTCTACACGTTCAACCACTTCACTCCCTATCACTAGTTCAGGTGCCAATGCAACCCAGTCTTGAAGCAACATTTTGCATTTCGAGGGGGAAAACCGCATCCCGAACATGCTTGCATTGTTGCTTAGGGTAGTCAGAAGACTCTGCATTTTGTCAGCGTCTTCACCAAGTAGGACAATGTCATCGGCATATTCTAAGTCAATAAGCGAGCCACCTGGTAGAAGGTCTACTCCTGAAAATTCAGACGAGGATAATGTTATGTCTAGGAGCATGTCTATGATAAAATTAAACAAGAATGGAGAAAGTGGACATCCCTGACGGACACCACTTGATGTAGAGAATTCCGGTGACAGTTCGCCATAAGCCCTCACCCGACCAGTGGTGTTCGAGTAAAGAGCTTGTATAAGGTTAATGTACTTCTGTGGTACACCTTTCAATGACAGACACTGCCACAGAACCTCACGATCAACAGAGTCAAATGCCGCCTTAAGGTCTAGGAAAACAACTATTGTAGGACGCCTAAATGTGTGTCTATGTTCCAGGACCTGTCTGAGTGTGAAGACGTGGTCTATACAGCCACGTCCAGGTCGAAAACCAGCCTGGTTTTCTCGAGTCTGCTCTTCACGAGCTTTCGTTAAGCGTCGAAGTATTATTGAGGCCAATATTTTAGATACTATATTAGTTAGACTTATTCCTCTGTGATTGTCACAAGAAGACTTTTGTCCTTTCTTATAGATTGGGACAATCAAGGATTGAGACCAGTCGGATGGGATTACGTACAGTTCCCAGATTTTACCTAAGATCTCAGTCAATCTAGCTGCTAAAACTGGACCACCATCCCTGAATATCTCAGGGGTCAGTCTATCAGGACCTGCAGCTCGTCCTCGTTTCAGATTTCCTAACGCTTTCTCAACGTCATAAAGACTAGGGGGACTTACGTCGATTTGCCATTCAGGATGACTGGAGATCGTGGGTAACTGAAGAGTGGCTCGTGGCCAGTTGAACTGATCCCTAAAGTGTTCTGCCCATCGATCCAGCCTCCTGGATTGAGAATGGATAATAAGACCATCCTTTTCCGAGATAGTCTCACTCACATTCGGGTTCTTAATACCGGTTTCTTTGATAAGGCGGAAAAGTTGTCTAGTGTTGCCTATCGCCGCTGCCTTTTCCATCGCTTTTGCTTTCGCCACCCACCACTGTTCGCGGTCGTTACGCAGACTTTTTATAAGTCTGCGCCTAAGCTGACTACGCTCTTCATCATGCTCAGAGTCAGGTGGGATGCGTTTTCGAGCATCCATCAGTTCCGTGGATGCGACTGAAATCCACGGCTTCATCCTAGCCTCATGGTTTACCTTACTAGCAGATATCACTGCTGTTTCCACAGCCTTTTTGATATCATACCAACCTGCTTCTGGATGGGAATCGCTTGCATGGTTGCTTAACTCTCTTTCTAGTTGCTCCTGAAATATTTTCTTAGTTTGATTATCATTAAGTAAAACCCTAAGAGGCTTTCTTACGGTGTCTTTCCTACGTCCAGTAAGCCTTAAACAGATACGAGCTCGCACTAGAGCATGATCTGAATCCAAACATGTGCTCCAGAACGAGCGACAGTCTTCTATCGAACCCCTCCATCGGTGGCTGATGGCGATGTGATCTAGTTGAGTCCAACGTTGAGACGACTTTGGAGGTCGCCAGGTCAACAGATGCTTTTCCTTATGCCTAAAGTTGGTGTTCGCTAAGAATAGGCGGTTATCTGAGCACAGTTGCAACAGACGGTCACCATTGTCTGTTCTCTCAGTCGCTACACCATAACATCCACCAAGATGTCTTTCCTTTTCACCTAGTCTACCTACTTGAGCATTAAAGTCACCAGCCATTATTACTATGTCAGAGCGCTTAGCTTTTTGGAGGAGGTCCGAAAGCTTTCTGTAAAACTCATCTTTAACCTCGTCTGCACTGCAGTCAGTGGGGGCGTAGGCTGATATGACGAAGAGGCAACGGCGAGTGTCCCTATCCTTACGAGTCCTTACTGTCCCGTTTAGTCGGACAGCGCACAAACGACTATCTACTGGGATCCAGTCTAGGAGAGATAATTCTGCCCTAGGACTCAACGCTATGCCTACACCAGCAAGACCCCTGGAAGCAGCATCAGGGCTACCGGATACCCGAAGAGTAAATCGAGCTGCTTCTTCGTTTTGACAAGGTGGAATCAGGTTAATGACTTTACTAGGATCCTGTATGCGCGTTTCCGAGACGCAGCATACATCGATGGCACGAGTTTCTAAAGTCCTAGCTAATGATGCCTGTTGCCCTATTTGACACAATGTCCGTACATTTAAAGCTCCAATATGTAGTCTAGAACGGGGTTTCAAGAGACCAGGAACGACGTTTCGTGATCTCGCTTCGTCTGCATTAGCGGTGCAGTGAGAAAAGGGAGTGTGAGTAGAGTTAGTTGTAGAGATAAAAGAGACATTAGGGGGTGTAGGAAGGATTTGATTTTGACCAATTTGGTCTCGCGTGCTGTTATGGGTATGAGGGCGGTTGTCACTTCCCGGCTGCCCACACCGTGGAAGGTTGTTTCTTGAGGGACCTGAAAAGGAAGATGGATTAGTGTTGGTGCGTGACCGCAGAGCCCAAGGGACAACTGCTTGAGGCCGGTCACGCACGGCCTTTTTATGAAAGGTATTTTGAGAATTAGCTCCGTTCTTAAAGGCCCTTAGTGGGCACCCTTACCCAAGGAGACGGAAATCCGTGAGTTAGGGGAGTGTGACATTTTTAGGGCCGACATTTTCTAACCCTTCCTTCCTTGTGAGAAGGCAGCATCGCTGCAGATGCTGGTTGTCCGAAGGAAACACCTTACTGCTGTCACACCCCTCTGCAGTCAGCAGTACGACTTCGCCCTCAGACCTTGGGTAGCTGCTTTTAGTCTCATCGTTCTCCAATCGACCAGCCTGGCATGGTAGGACCTGCAGGAACATATGTTCCAGCCAGTATAGCTCGGTTGGGTCATCACGATAGGCAAGCCCGACCACCACGTCAAGGTAGCAGCTTCGGTCGGGTAACGGGAGATATGAGATTCATCATACTTTTACCATGTTACTGGCGTTATATTATTCACCTACTGTATGTAACGAATGTGTCTATTACTCTTTGCAAACTAGCCAAGTAATACAGTGAATTGATTGATCAAGTTATTTCTCATTATTTTGAATTTTTAAATCCCTTATCTAAGGTTGAGCAAGAAAATCACCTGATGTAGGATTTGATTTACCTACATGTGAATTTCTTGGATAAATCTCTATAATGTTGCAGGGTCTTAATCAGAACAGGTAGCCATGTAAACAGCCCTGCTAGGACTGCGTGTCAGTATATGGATTTTTCCAAAAGATTCGTCTGTAGGTAAATCCGATCCTACAAAGTCTTAAATAATATAAGGACAAAACAATAACGAACGGTTAGTTATGTTTATATAACTAGCGCGATTTCATGATTAGGAGTTAAATGAAGAGAGTTATAATAAAAACCTGTCTGGGAATAAATGGGTCTTAAATGGTGGGTGCTTAACTCAAATATTATTGATCGGTTTACTATTATCGATTGAGACCAACACCTAGTGTAAAAATTGTGTACGTTAAGGAAACAGAGAAATATTTTAAATCTACTGGATACACCACAATAAAAAGTCCCCACTGTGTACAGTGTCGACTAACGTAAACATTACATGGAAAAACCACAAACCAATCAATAAGATTATTATGAACCACAAAAATATTGCCAAAACAAGGTTACAAACCTCTTTGACATAGATCCATAATGATGCACAGTTCTGTTTGGGCAACAAAAGATGCATAATATGCCACTATATTTTCGTTTTTCATATTTTTCATAGATTTTATTTCTCTCTAAATCAGCTCTGGATTAAAACGAAACAATGACGTACATTTATTTCTTCTAATGACGCTGATGTGCTGCATTTTTCAAGATTGATTATCTTGATGGCACATTTTTTCCCGTTTGAGGGACAAAGAGCTTCAAACACAGTAGATGTAGCACCTTGCCCTGAATTTGTTGTGACGAAATACTAAAAAAACAAACCAATTGACTTTCCAAACTCGTAGGAGGCCTTTGTCATTGGCCACTGAATCGGTGTTTCACAAAGACTACCTGTTGAGCCAACAGTTGACTCAGTCATGCTAGCTATTCACTGATCTGGATTGAGCACAACACGGGAAAAACGTAATGCAGCTTTGAACTTTTCCGCTCTTTCGCCTCAACGACCTTGAGCGATTAAATTTCAGGCAGTCAGTAATTGAGGATTTCAGTTGATTTCATTAAGGATATCAGGTCCATTGGCATATATTATTCAGTGAAATCTAGAGTTCTGTGAAGATATAACTTCGCTTCCAATTTACTTATTTAGAATCTGGAGGAGTCAAAATGTAGTTAATCACAAAACTCCTAATTCCAGTATTCGAGTCTGACCGAACTGATCATTTAAAGATCGTATACAACAGAAGAATACTCTGGCTAAGTCTAAAATTCGAACAAAAAACGGCGAAAAAACCTTAGGATCCATAGTTTTTAGGTAGTCAGGTCTTGGAAACCGATACTTCCAAGTCGTGTTCGGATAGAAGTGGTGGTCCTCAGAACATTTAAGTGTTTGTTGTACAAAAACTCATGGTCTTAGAGATAAAACGTCCGAGCCAAATTTTATAAGGGATTGACTCAGTCCCAACATGTGAGACTGCTAATAATAAAGTCTAGACATGGTTTATTTACCTTGGGAGGGATATACTGCAGTGAATATTGTCTTGCTAATAACTTCACCTCAAGTCATATCTATAGGTCGAGCGGGGATGATCGTTTTCTCATTCTTGAAGACTTCAACAGGCTACACACTAATTGGTATAGCTTACAACTTCAGGTGGACGTTTTGACATTAACTTGTCGTTAACTATTATTTAATGTGCACTCGCACAGTATATCGCGAAACTGACTCACTAGGAAAATGAACCATCACTACTGATTTATATTACTCACTACAGTAAGGATGTCATCTAAATTCATCAAAATTTGACTACGCAGTACTTTACCGCAGATTTCAGACCTTAATGTATGTAGTATGTTTTACTGGCAGACTTCCATCTTGGCAACCAGAAACCACACTTTCGCAACACTTCGGTCAGTCAAAGCCAAAAGATCATAATCCTGTCGTGGTATGTGTTGCGAAGATAACAAAATTGCTGAAATATACACATTTATTATCGTATTTAATTCTGAGAATAACTGTTATTAGAACAACACATATATATGCGTTGTTCTAATTTTCACAATGGGAATAATGATTATATTGTACTCCTTTTGTTTATCTGTACTAAAGACTATCTTTCGCTTACCAAGAGTGTCTTTCCCATTCCGCTCCTCTCCTCGCTTGTTGTTAACCGCTCCTTTACTCTAGTCTTGATAATATTTCGATATCACGAGGCTAGCGATAAACATACTTTTTAATCCAGAATAGTCTTTCCTTTGACTTCTGGATCATCGGGCTTTACCTTAGTATATAAATATATTTATTTTAACTCCCTATAACCTCATGCTGCACCATTCACGAAAGATATTTGGCATACGATCGCTGCACTTTGGGGTAATAGGTGCAGTACATGAGTGAATTAATAGCTAAATCAAAGGACAAAGAAAGAGGTTGAGACCAAATGAAACAAAATCCGAAGAGAAAACTATCAGAAATAGTGTACGAAGAATCGGGTCCGATCATAGTCATCTCGCAGTTGATTTGGAAGGACTAAGTAATCTAGAAAGAGATTTTCATATTTGTATACCTTCAACAAACTGGCCATAGGCAGTAATATATTCCAGCACATACGCATACACAAAAATTCATGGATTTCACCGGATCACAATGCGCAGAAGCGAATCGACTACATCTACTTCATTATAAGGTTCAGGGGGATCATGGAAGACCTTAGAACACGGAGATGACATAACTTCAGACCATCACTTCGTAGCGGCAATTGGAAGAACGATTTCCAGGTCCATACTCACATTTGTGTCCTGCATTTAGACGGTTTGGAGGAGGATCCTTTGGATATCTTATCGTTTATTATTTCTAAACAATATTTGGAAGAGGATCTTTGGATATTTTACTGTCAGCTGGTTCTTAACGATATTTGGAGAAAAGTCTTTTGGATATCTTATTGTCGACAATAATTGAAGAAAAGGAACCAGTGAATTTTAATATCTGGTCTTTGTTCTTTCGTTTCCGTTGGATTTCAAATGCTATAATGAGTTCTCGTAAGAAGCCTAACACGCCCAGGGATGGAGCCCATGAAGAATCGCGGAATGCAAGGCAAGTACCTTATGATACTTCATGTTTAAAGGGTTCACTCTCTGATAAGGATGATATTATGTTTAGTACTTATTGTCGTAAGCCAACGTTAGAGGGTACTAAAGGACGTAGTTTGGACGAGAAGTTTGAGGTACCTGGTCCACCAGGGTACAGGTACCTGTGTGGTTGCACCACAGGATTGAGCCGAACTGTTCATGTAGTGATGGTAAAACGTGTCCAGTCTCTATGGTTCTCCTGAAAACCAATGTAAAATTGCCCTAGACATTACAGGGTAAATTTATATAATTGTATATAATTGTGGGAAAGATTTGATGTCTAGGACACCAGTAGTAGGCTTAGAATTGCCAGAGGTTGAATTAAGTTATTTTTACGGACACTACCGTGATTATATTAGGTTCATTAGACAGTTTGATACGTTTATAGAACCTAGAGTTATTGATGACAATATGCGCCTATTATATTTAATCCATTACTGCAAGGGTAAGGCAAAGGCTGCCATTGAAGGATGTCTAATGATGGAAGCTTCGTCAGGCTACAAAAGGGCTAAAGACATTTTAAAGCAGCTTTTTGGTCAAACGCACTTGATAGCCCGGGAAATGTTAGAAGAGTTTTCTAAGCCAGGAAGGGCTGATTACAGTGATCCAGAACGTATGTCGTATTAAGCCATACGTATGCAAGAATGCTCTATGATCTTAGAGCAGCTGAATTATACCTCTGAATTTAATTCCTTGGTAACTTTGGAAAGGATAGTTGGGCTTCTACCTCATCGTATGCAAGTCCAGTGGGCAGAGCTGGAAACTAAATGGGACGAGGAGGATAGAGAGCCTAAATTCAGTGAATTGACTGAGTTTATTTTGTCTCGTGCAAGGATAGCTAGTAGTAAATTTGGACAATTAGCTAATCGTCCGAAAACAGGACATGATATGAAAGCAATTAGTCATCTGCGTGACGGACATGGGAATCCTTCGAATGTGTTTGCACCTACCTCACGCCCGCAACTTAGGAGAGTTGTTCATTGAATTAGCAAGGTAAATCTTCCTGAAGACCGAGCATGTAAGCTTTATGATTTAAAATCCATTGACGTCTATCCTAAGGAGAAGTCAGTATCTGTAGCAGGTAAGGTGGCTTTTTTGAGGATGACGAAGAAGGAAAAAGGCAGAAAGGTTAGGTATCAAGACGGATCCGAGGTATGTGAAGGTAGAAGTTTCCTAACTGCTCGAAATGCAAGGAACGGTAATTTGGATTTGAGCAAGCAGAGGTTAATGGGTGCAGTGAATATAAATAAGGACGAAACAGGTTTGACTGTATGGAATGAAGCTTATGTTCGGAACCCTTTACGTAGGGTAAATTATTTGACACTACAGACAGCTGATCCTAGGATAGCAAGTGTAATCAGTGACACAGCACTTCATGTTGTTGCGCGATCAGGATGTCTGCGGGCTACTGAATCTAGTTCTACGGAGTATCATAATAGTGAAGCGAAAGATAATAGCAGCTTAGTGCGTCCTGCTGATGTTTGTTTACAGTCAACTGATGGACGGTCTCATACTAGTCCAAGTAGTCATAGCAATATTGGTGGTGTTAGTGTTAGTGGCAGCAGTGGTAGCTTATCTTTAGAGCCTGCATGCCAACCTTCTCGCAACTCGGCATTAACTGTGAAGAGCCGGAACATCAATGTGGACAACAACAACAACAGTGGAATCACTATAGGTAGTGCAGTTTCTTCGGTTGTTGTCACTAATGTAGCTTCTTCGAGTACTTCAGATGAAGACGAAATTGGATGTTTGAGCATGGAGAATGTAGGCGTCGGTGGCAATAGCGTCAGCCACAGTGATGGCACTACTGAGAGGGCTAACATTCAGTGCCCTAGGTGCAATGAGGAGTCATCTAGGTTTAATGGACATGCTGTTGTGTTGAATATTCAGCATGAGGAATCGAGCATGGAACTGTCCACCTGTCTCACTCCACCATCTTTGACTCGTACTACAAGATTCGGGATGAGCACTACCAACAGTGATAAGACAGAAGAGGTTAAGAGCATTCCTAGTAAAGAAAGCAATGTTAATCGAGTAGAGTTGCACAATGGATGTCATGAGAAGTGTACTACTACTTCTACAGCTGTGGCTACTAATAGTGATCAAGGGGAATCGAAAGACACTCATCGACGTCGAAGTGGGCGTACATTACGCTCACATACTTCTACCCAAGGTGAGAAGCATAAGAAACGACATGATGCTAATATCATTAAAAAGTGTAAACTTCGTTCTCTTTCGGATGCTGTAACTAGCAATGGAGATAGCAGTCATCAGAATCTTAGGAGTGGCAGCGATAGTAGAGACAGAAAGTGTGAGCAGTCCACCTATAGTGACTAGTCTATCTACTACGTCCAATGAACCTTCTAGTTTTCTGACGTTATCGAACCCTGCCGTAGATGTAAAGTTGATTGAAGATGCACAAGGTTGTGCAACTGCAACTGTTTCTACTCCGGTTGACTGTTAGTCGAGTATTGATGAGAAGAAAGCGTCTGATGGTAACAGCCAGTCTACAGTGTTGTATGACAACGATGCTATTGATGTGCATATGTCTTGTGTCTCTGAAACGAAACATGAAGAACAGCAAGTGAGTTTATCGGTTTCGAATTGTGATACTAATGCTGTTCCTTCATGTAGTGAGATGAGTTATACAACAATGGAAGAGTTTCACCCTATGGATGCTATTGTAGCCAGATACGACGCGACTTGTCTGACAGAACGGAATCATGATGACGATGATAATAATCTGGATGTCACTGATGTGACAAATGAGTTGTCGACGATGACGAATGCTGATCGAACCTCCTCTGTATCAGGAGATGGATAGTTGAATATTGTTCCTATATTATGGCTCTTAGAGTCTTCAGGAGACGAGGAAATATCAAAATTGGAGATCCCACCC